GACCAATCACATTGACTGGTCACAATTTGATTTGTCAAATAGTTATGTCTGGCAAATTCTTAGTTCTGTTTTGGTTATCTTTATGCAAATCTAGCTTAAAAAGATGCATAAAATTGTAAAAATAAATACCTTGATTTCTATTATCCAAGTAAGTCATCAGCAAATCAGCCTTCCTGTTTATGGAATCCTTTAATTAAAGCACACAGGTATGTAAAATTTTTCCTATATGTATGAATTGGTAGTCCATTCACTATTGATCAATAGGAGCAACCAACAAAGTGAAAGTGAAAATAATTTCTTATTATATACCAAAGATAGTACACTTGCTCTGATTGGTTGAGAACTGTGCTGCTGCTATACAACAAATTGAAATATGATGACTAATTTGAATAACTATGATTGTGGACTGGCTATCATCTTACGCATGTGAAAAGGCTTTAGCATTTCTATGTCAGCACAAGGCTCGTCAGTCCTGAACATTAATTATTCAAAATTTGATGCCATATTTTAATTTGGTATATATGAACCAACCTCATTCAAGCTGCTGTCCATTGCCTTAATGATATGCCTGATTGCTGCTATGTCTAAAGGTTGACCAGTATTGAGTAATCTGAAGATACCTAATAAACAATGGAATTATTAAATTTGTATTTTTATTATAATTATTAATATAAAACTAATCCAAAAGGGCTACAGTGCTGTATACACCTGCATCCAATGGGGAATAAGCAAGAACAGCACCCCAGATGTCCTGTTGACTGAATTACGTCGGTCGTTAGGTTTTATACTTTCATTGAAACTGTTGGCTGTGTAATGCCTGGGTGAAAGTGGACTGTCTTTGGAGTAATGGTGAGATGTCAATCAGCCATATGGCCAAGAGTCTGTTAACAGTCATCTGAGGCACTGCTCTTGTGTTTAATACCTATCTAATACAATACAATCATACAGTAATGAACTAACCTCTCAGTTTTGTCTCTTGGTCAACTGATTCCCACCATTTCAGTACACCAAACAAAGCAGAAAATGTCAAGTTGCCATTAGAGTCCCTGGGGATGGTATTCCACACCTTCAAAAAGAAACAAATTGACTTTCCAAACTTCAAAGGATACCAAAATACTGGTAATGGCCTCAGGATGATTAGAAAAGTGGGACTAGATTTGGGGACTAGTCAAAAAGCAACTGCAATCTCAGGCACTCTATCGTATATATAATAGTTTGCACAGCCACCATGTTGGATGAATTTAACAAAAGATTTGTCATTAATCTTTTTTGTCAAATCATCCAAGTTGGCAGCTGTTTCTTTTGATGTTTCATTCTCTTGGGAATAGATTGGAAACCAGCAATAGTCTCTTTCACAGTTCCCTGTGCCATCTTGAAGGGTAGCCGTGCCTTTGCATCAAAGCGAGACGAACGGTGAGCTTGCAATGACAGAGACATGTGAATAATTGACCAAGGTGTTAAAAAAAGGTCTCTATCATTGCAAGCTCACTGTTGAACGTGCTTCGATACAAAGGCACGGCTACCCTTCAAGATGGCACAGGGAACTGTGAAAGGGAACTATCGTACTCCCATGCTTCATACCTGTCTGAGAAATGGTTTGGATTTAAAGGGTTCCTGCAACAAGATATCATCATTGACCAATTGACCTCTGACAATTAGCTGTTGGTATCTGGCCCAAAGATATTCCACTTCAGCCACTGCAACTGTAAAGACAGACAGACAACAATTATACTGGATACTTGCATCTATAAGCAATTTACAACCAAGGTTTGTGGAAAAAATGGAGCTTTTATTACCTTTAGTGTCAATGTTTCCCATTTCAGATAAGGTGTTATTCTCTTAACAATAATTTAAGATGCTTTGTTAGAGTTGTATCTATATGTATGTCTTATCATGCACATCCGTTAAACAAAGAAATAATACTCTTGGGAATGACACGTGGTCTGTAATTGGAAAACATTACACGTAAGCCAAAGAGGTCCATTTGAGAATGACTCAACTGTAAGGCCAAGAGAATATGAGTCATGGAATTGAGTCCACCAATCGCATGCTTTGAAAGCTACTGCTGAAAATTATCGTTATGCACAAAAATTGTCATTAATTGCATGAAAGGGTACTTTATTACCTTCCCTGCATCAGAGTCTCTCCTCTTTCTCTCCCTTCCTTCTATTTTCTCCCTCAAAAGGAAGATAGGAAAATAGGCACTCCTAGCAAGGAATTTATTACCCCAAATGCAAGTTCCAAATCATCTACATCAGTGAATGTTCATTTTTCTGTGGTTTACCCTGATGCGGGTATTTTCGTGCATGGGTTACCTGTGGTGCAGTATGCTCTCTCTGGATTAAATAACTATTAAATATTATAATATCCACTATAATGAATAATGAAAACAAACGCCTCATCTATTTTTTGAAAATTGTCCGGACGCAAATCTATGACTCTTATTCTCTTGGCCTAACCTACCTTCCCACCCCCCACTTCTTCAATGCCATCATTTCCTGTATCCTTCTCTAAAGATTTAAATTAAAAAAGATGTCCATGCGAAGATTTTCGGACTCTTCCTTTTATACCTGCATATCCTCTAGGGTCACTTGGGTCTAAGGTGTCATACAACTGATTCAACACCTCGTTCAGTGGTTGCTGTGCAGAGCTGTCACTTGACGACCCTTCATAAGCATTGTTTTCAGCTTCATTTCTAGCTGCTAGTGAATCGTTTCTATTTTTCTTACTAAAGATAGACTTGAACATCACCGAAATTGTCTTTTAACACATCTTTATAGAAGAAAAATAGGAAATATAAGTGATTTTCGACGACTTGACAACCACCTCCTGTCAGCCATCTTGAAAATAGCAGAACTGTCACTTAGAGGATTATGGGTAACACGGGCTTCCTGTGGTTTTTACTTTTCGATCTCTTTGAATGGCCTCCAAATAAGAATAGAGCAGAAAAATAATTAATTTTACAATATACTAATGATCAGAGGTAAGAAATGATTGCAGAGACCTATCCAGTATTATTGAATATCTAGTTTCTTCAAGCTTTAAATTTAGCAGCAGAAAAAATTAAAAAATGGTGACAATATTGACAGAAGATAAACCTGTTTTATAAACAAAACGTTAGATCGATTTATTTTATTCCCTCTTCTCTTACAGCTTTTCCTACGCTATTTCGGCAACAGTTGATTTGCAAAACAGTTTTTAACAGCATATCAACAACGTTACAGGTAACCATCGAGAAACAATGTATACTTAACCGCAAAAAAAATCATTATTGTGTTATATAATCTGACAATCATTTCATATTTTAGATTACAATTATTGTAACTTTTTTTTGCCTTTCCCAGAAAATGTCTGTACAGGCAACCATCACAGAGAATCTCACCAAAGAGTTCAAGGTATGATTCTGGTCAGAATTTAGAGAGGAAATCCTCTTCTGATGCTTTGAGCCAGAAGTGTAGCCCTCTCTTAATTACTGCACAGCTAATTAACAATAGTCCCCTTCACAGTTCCCTGCGCCATCTTGAAAGGTAGCCGTGCTTTTGCATCGA